AATCATATTCATTCGATGTGACGATACAAGAATGTAAAACCATCATAACTTTTTATCGGAAAACATCGGGTTTTCCGGGGAAACCAATCTTGCTCATTTGTACTTTCAAAAACTATAATGCAAAACTTCTCATTTATTCATGTTTCAAAATCATTCACACATATACTTACAGGATCATCACAACATTTTCAAGAAAAGTCTTAATACAGAAAATATCGGATTTTCTGGGTTTTACGAACGACATAAACTATTTTACATCAAACACACTTATGAACTCACCAACATTATATATGTTGACCGTTTTCAAAAATAACTTGTATTCTCAGGTAATCGTTAGACAAAGAAGCATCCAGTGTGTTGAAAGTTTCTTTTGTAGTTACTAATCACCAAACACTTTATATTTTGGAATAATGTAATGTAAACCTTGTACTTGATGTAAACAATGCCATTTGTACTATGTAATATTTGGTGATGAATGTGTTATGTTTCATGTATATTCATTGTGATGATATTTCAATTTAAGTCACGCGAGCCCTCAGACGTTTCCGCCGTCTGGTTCGGGGTGTGACAAGGACCATAGGTAAACATAGTGTGCATGCTAAGAGCATGGGACAATTGTTGTTATAATTCAAGTAAGAAGTTAATTATCCGAAACAACAAATAATGAGTAATCAATATGGTGATTAAGTAAAAGGTGTTTTATTTATACTCAAAAGTTTGGGGCCATATAGGATTAGTATTATTCTTGTGTTTCACTTTGCATGTTTTGACTTCCCGAATAATAAGATTATTCAAACCCTCCACAGTCGCTCATTCTTTGGAAGTAGGAATGAAAGAAGACTGTCATGAATCTGACTGTAGATTGTCTAAAGCGTTTTAGACATAGCAAAAGTTTGTTGCAGGGTTCATGAGTGCTGCTATAAGATTAGAGTATTGGAATAAACCCATGCTCTCTTGGATCGCTTCATGGATTTAATCACGAGTGATTGGTGAGATGATAATATCTTGTATTCTTGAAACCGAGATGTGTAAGTTGTATCTTGCGAGTCGGTTACACATTGATAATATCTAAATGCACCAGTAACTTGATGTTATAAAACGTATTGTTGTGTGTGATTCAGTGAGTGAGTGCAAGCGAGCATTGAGTCGAAGTTTATCCGTTCCTTTTACCCAAAGTGGGATAAAATCGATATATGTGGGCCCCTCGATGATTTAGTGATGACACCCTAAGCGCTTGGCCAAGCCGGGACTAAGTTGATGTGTTCAATTATAGTCTGTTGTCAGTCGTCATAAATCGGAAGTCGGGAAACAATATATAGACAGAGTGAATGATTTAAATCCATGTCTCAGTCTATACGATATCAAGAATGGAGGAATATATGATCCCTTATCTAAAGGACACGCTTCTGATAAGATCAAAGTTGACAGCGGCTTTTGAAAGCTACGATTGCGGATCAGGATCTGAAGTCATACGCAAAATAGTTATTAGACTTATCCAAGTGGGAGACTGTTGGATTAGTGTCTAAGTCCATAACTATTTTGGTATGTACTTGAACCGATGGTGCATGGTCCTTTTGGGTTGCCTTCACCAAAGCAACTTGATAGGATGAATTATGGAGAGAGAGGATTAATTATGATTTATTAATATATTATGAGAATAATATTGTTTAATTAATAATAGTCAAGAATTAATAAGAATTAATTTTGTGGCCGAAAGACATTAATTAAATAAAGGGGACTGGAACTGTCAATTGTGTGAGAGTTGAATATTGGGCTAATGGACTCCATATTAGAGGAGTGGACGAATTCCATGGGGAAACCCATTAGAAATCGTCCAAGGCCTCTAAGGAGGGAGTCCATGGGCTGCTTAGGGCTTAAGCAGTCAAATTAGGGTTTCCTTGTTAGATAACCCTAATAGCCTCATTATTTAAGGACCCCTAGGGCACCAAAAACGTGGTGAACTGATTCCTTAGGGTTTCTAGACGTTTTTGGGTGCCTTCTCTCTTCTCCTTCTTCATCATGTTGCTCTTGGTGTTTGTGAGCCATTAGAGGAGTGACACTTGTGACTCTAAGCTTTCAGAAGCAATTACAAGGAGGATTTGAGATTGTTATTAATACATAACAATCAAGGTAAGATCTAAACCCTATTCATATGTTAATATCGATTATCACATGCTAGATCCAGGGTTTATGGCTTTGGATGATTATTGCATGTTCTTTAGACAAACTAGATCCAAAGCTTTAGGGTTTGCATGTACACCATAGGAATGATGTAGTGCTCAAAACCCATCAGATATGTTGTTACATCATCTCTTATATTACGAAGTCTCCCCCAATAGAATTCAAACTCAGTGGTTTTGTAAGCTCTTACCAGCTTCCAAAACCAAAATTGCTGTTTTTTTGTTTTTTCCAAAGGTGTGGACTATGTTTCCTATTAGATGAAAGGCACACAATCCATGTTGAGCATTTGGAAAAAACATTTTGAATACTTACAGCAATTGCGGGTGCCCTATCTGTGACCATTTGTCAGACCTTCCACATCACCATTGCATTCATATAGTTTTTCAAGAAACCATGTCCAAGAATCCGTAGTCTCTTTTGGGCAAATTCCATACCCAATAGGCAAGATCTGATTGTTGCCATCCATGGCTACTGCATGCAGGATGGTGCCTTTGTAATTTCCCTTCAAATGCACACATCCATAATAATAACTTTTCTACAACACTCTCTGAAAGCACGTATCTGCAACAACAATATAAAAACCATTAATATATCAACAATATAATTTGTTAGAAACATTTATGAAAATAACAAATATATTTAAAAATATATTACCGCACATCCAATAGCGAAAAAGCAATACTCAAAACGATCCCCCGAATCAGTTTTTATGTACGCCACAGTACCAGGATTATGTTTCTTCAGATTGTGAAAATAAACTGGAAGTTTGGAGAAACTTTCTTCGGGGGTCCCCATCATCAATCCCAGAGCAAATTCTCTAGCATGCCATGCTTGTGAATAACTCATATTTATTTGTAGCAAAGCATTCATATCTCTTATATCTTTAGGCTTCCAAACTCTCAAACTTCCTTGACCCATAATGTCATGTATTATGGTTCCCACAACTTCGCTATTTGCTTGCCTATGATTTGGGTGTATAAGCAATGAAGAACATGTATGCTCGTCATTAAACATCTTAATTTCAAATATTTCTGTTCCTTTAATGAGAGATGCGTATAAACGCCAATGACAGTTTTCTTGCATACAAACAATCTGGTACCGAGATTTTGAAGATTTTTCAACCTTTATCTGAAACTTTTCTCTAACAGCTTTCAAATTTAGCAGCAAACGCTAGCTCTTTTCTGGTGTTATAGGTTTGATTGACAATTAATTTATCATTCGGACTTAAACTGTGAAATGGTCCAGGTTCAAGAATAGGTTCTGGACAATCAGGAATAGAAGGAATACAATACCATGGATTAAAAGCAATTTTTTGTTTCGTGTACTCATCATTCGACCACCCTTCATTTGATTTTTCCTCACATCTTTGATCATCAACTTCAGGAACTTCTCTAAACTCGAACAAATTATGATGTTGTAATTCAGTCATGCCCATTTTTGCTTCTTTATCATTATCTGATACAAAAGTATAATTATCAGATACAAACTTATCAGTAACCGAAACTTTTTTTTTTCATAACCCACTGACACTTCATTTCCTATTCCCTTTGAACGGTTTCCATCACATTGGATTTCTCTACGACCTCTATTAGTTTTTGCTGGATTAAAGTGGTTGTTAACCACTGCTTGTTCTTCAGCTTCTTCACCTACCACCGTTAAATACAAATGCACCGTCTTCTTTGATTTATACATTACATGTCTCAATTGAAATACATCAGTTTCATCTCCAAGCTCCATGACATACTCTAACTCCAGGTGCTTAAAAGACAAACATATATAACTATTTAGCACACCTGCCTTACTTCTAACCATTTGTAATAACATTTCATGGTCAATGTTAGGAGGAAGATTTAAACCATAGTTTTTCACATTATTTCTAACGTAAACCTCATCTCCATTAACTAACTGCCAAGACCCTCCCGTACACAAAATAATAAAACTCATTTTACAAATCACTCTCCACAAACACAATGAAAAAACAACTTCTACTGGTAATTGAAACTCACAAACTCACAAAAACCCACTAAAATACGTCTATAACTTCTATAACTGATCCGCAGAGGTGTACACAAATCCGCAAATGTGTACACTGATCCGCATAGGTGTACACTGATCCGCTGATAACAGTTCTGTGGATTCCCAAACAGTTCTGTGGACTGATATTAAACATAAGTTCATTATTTTTAACTTTTTTTTTGTCAATTTTTTTCATAAAACATAAGGTATTAGTGTATTAAAAAAACTAATATTAATAAACGAAAACAAAAAATAGAAAAAACGAAAAAACGAAAAAATAAAAATTAAAAAACTCAAGATCCCCAAATATGTTTCGGTTCCTCAGAGGCAAATGTATTACATAAAACATTTCATTATTTTTAACATTTTTTTGTAGATTTTTTTACATAATAATCACATAAGGTATTAGTGTATTTGAAAAAAATTATATTAATAAACGAAAATGAACAAAAAAAAAAAAATTAAAAAAATCAAAAAACAAAGATTCCGCAGAGCTGTAGAGGATCCGCAGAGCCTTCAATGAAGTTTATTTCAAATATGTTTGTTATGAAGGTTGTATGTTATGTTTTCTAAAATATGTTTTGTAACCTACTTAAAGTATGTTTATTATTCAGAATACCGGTGTGTGTAATTTTATAAAAAACATAGAATATTTGTATAATTTTTATTAAACACACAACTTTTATAAACGGGTAATTAAATAAGAAAAACGAAAAACGAAAACAAAATTTTTTTACATAATAATCACATAATACCTTATGTGATTAAAAAAAATATTAATAAACAGAAAAAAAACGAAAAAAATGAAAAAACCAAGATCCGCAGAGGTGTTCACATTCCACAGAGGTGTTTATGGTTCTGCAGAACTCCTCTGCGGAACCTGTGGTCATTTTCTGAAATCTTCATTTTTGTGGTCATTTTTCTTCAAAATCACCCTACATTTTGGTCATTTGCCGAATAAGCTCTTTAATGTAATTAGAGTGAAAAATTTAAATTTTGAAATCTGAAATTTATAATTAATAGGTTGACAAGGGACATGATAGATGATATATAATATTAATGAGAAGTTCTAATAGTATGACAATTGTCAATACGAGAATAAAATTATTCATTTATAAGAATAAGAATAAGATAAGAATAGGAAGATTTGTTTGGAAATCTTTCATTTGTTCAATTTCTTTCAAAAATATTCCGAGCTCTAGTAAAAGTACCAGGGGTCGAACTGATACAATTAAACCATGAGGGGTCCAGATGCAATTATAAGAAAATCCGCTTTAAATTTACATCCGCCTTCGAAGTGACTTTTGCGGCCAACCGTTCTCTCCGTCGAGGGCTCAATTCAACCACAGATTTGCTCCACGTAAAACCCTAACTCCTTATTATCAATTCCTGTTCAGTTGTTCATTATCTTTGTTTTTCAGTATCTTCCATGGTTCGATAATCCTTTCCTTTTGTTTAGTGCTCCACATATATTCCGTGAAACTTGCAACGATTCCCTTACTGTGATGTGCAAATTTGATGCTTTCGATTTTTGTCTGCTAGGATTCCCTACTTTGTGCTAATTGGTTTCATTGAATGAGGGTTGGAACTTTTAAGGCTTAGTGTATTTCAATAATGTTTATGCTAAATGCATGAGATTTGTGGAATTGATTGCCTTTTACTAGGAATTGGATTATGTTTTAGCAGAGTTTAAGGTAATTGTTAATGAATTTATAGCAAATCACAAGTGTTAATCATAAATTCATGATGAAAAGTTTCAATTTAGACGAATCTCTTTGTAGTAGGAGTTGATACCTAATTAGTCTGTTCTTCGCTTCTTGCTGATATTCATTTCTCCCTCCAAACTCAAGAAGCATTTTCAGGTGATACGTAGAAGGCCAGTACTTTATCAGTTCAAAACGAACATAGATTACCTAATAAGTATGCCAAATTATTGGAAAGCTAATTGATTATCAAATTTAAAATTTCAAATTAGCATGTTTGACCTATAAGGAAGCCGCATCTATTTCCTGGAGTAGAAGGAATAGTTGATGTTAATTTTAAATAGTTAGGTTTAGAGAGAAGTCACAAACCCTGTTTCCATAAAATAAAAAACCACAAAGCTGCTATTAGGAAATCCTTGTTAATCCTAGTTTCATCCAATTGATAGGTTCATGAAAGAGGGATGATGAAGTCTGCTGGACATGCTTTGCTTTCTTCTTTTACACCTCCTTATATTTTCCCCAAAAATAACTATCGCAGATTCCCTCCAAATTTACTTTGTGGAACTTCATCTTCTAAATCAAGGAAGTTATACGCATACCAACAAAACCATCATTCACATCCAAAATCTTCAATGGTTGTGGAACAGTATTTACCTCCTTGGTTCAGGTAAATATAAAATATCTGTAAAATGTTTAATGTTACATGTTAAAAGTTCATTTTTTTTCTCTGTGGTTTGAAATTTTGAATGATTTCCTTGTTTTACAGTGTTGCCCCAATGATGGAATGGACAGATAATCATTATAGAACTATGGCCCGCCTTGTAACTAAACATGCATGGCTCTATACAGAAATGCTTGCTGCAGAAACAATTGTTTATCAGGAGAAGAATTTGGTAAACAAGTTATTTAAATGGACTTATATTTGCTCAAATAATGTATATGAAGATTGAAGATTATATTTGTTCCTTTTGACTTATGTTTCTTTTTGATTGCTCAGGACAGATTTCTAGCTTTTTCTCCAGAACAACATCCGATTGTTCTTCAAATTGGTGGAAATAACTTGGAAAATCTTGCAAAAGCAACTCGACTAGCAAACAGATATGGCTATGATGAAATTAACTTAAAGTGAGTTCTTATTCATACACATCTCCTTTTAGGCTATTTCAAGTGATGAAAATTTGAAAATGAGGAGGGTATTTATGTCTTTTGCACAAGAGCTATGCTGAAATTTGTTTTGTTTTTGTTAGTTGTGGATGCCCTAGTCCAAAGGTAGCAGGACATGGTTGTTTTGGTGTTCGTCTTATGCTTGATCCAAAGGTTTGTGAAAGATTTTCTTGGATGCATGCTTCTTTGAACAATGTAGAAGTAGAACACATGTTTTTATTTTTTATTTTGTATTTATTTGTTAATTTGATTAGGTTAATTTTTGCAAGGGAAGTTTGTTGCTGAGGCTATGTGTGTGATTGCTGCTAATACGGATGCTCCAGTTAGTGTTAAATGTCGTATTGGTGTTGATGATCATGATTCATATGAACAACTCTGTAAGTTTATTTTTTATTTTTATTTTTTTTTCATCCATTCCTCCCGTTTGTTTTATAAAAATTTCTTTAAGATATACAGTTGAAGAAGTTGCATATAGACATATTTCATGTTCTGTTGGAATTTGTATTATGTATTTAACAAATAAACAAGTTTATGTTTATCATTTGAAAGTTTTTATATTCGAATTGATTTTTTAATAATCAAAGAATATTGATTATGTAATGTTTTTATTTTTTTTATCTTCCTATCCACTAAGTAATGTTATATTCAAATATAGAAATGAAGTTGTATTTGTATTTTGTACATACTTGATACTTCATAAAATAATATTAGAAAAATGTATTTTGTAAAATAAAAAGTTGGATAAAATAGAATACCATGAAATTTTCTTATGGAACTATGGAAAAAAAATATTTTGAAGTTATATTTAAACATATCGAAAAAAGAAAAATTATCTGTAGTTTTAAATATTCTTAAAAATAGTATCGGTGTAACTTTTGGAATTTAATCATATATAAGATGTATGTAGACGCATTAATATTTTTACGACTTTTTTATATTTACATTTGCTATTTTTGTCATCTTTTGTTATTTTGATTTTTTTTTTTTTTATTTGCAGGTGATTTTATATATAAAGTTTCTTCTCAATCGCCAACTAGGCATTTCATAATACATTCAAGAAAGGCATTACTTAATGGCATTAGCCCTGCTGATAATCGCAAAATTCCTCCTTTGAAGTATGTAAATTAAATGACGATTTCATTTCATTTTATTTATTTAGATAATAAAAAATAAATTTTACCACATCTTCTTCCATGTTTTTATAATTATATTTCATGCAGATATGAGTACTTCTACGCCCTCCTTCGCGACTTTCCAGACCTCCGGTTTACAATTAATGGAGGCATAAATAGCATCGATGAGGTAAGCATTCATTTACTTTTATCTTTTTCATAGAAAATACTAATCTCTTTTTTTTTTCCTTATTAAAAAATAAAACAAATGTAAAAATATTTATATTTGACCTTCTTTTCTTGATATTAAATTTACTAGGTACGCGCAGCACAACAAGAAGGAGCTCATGGTGTTATGGTTGGTCGTGCTGCCTATCACAAGTACAAAATATAACCACTCATTATTATTATTATTATTATTATTATATTATTTATTATTTTTGTTTTTAGAAAAAAAGAAACACACATATATAGCTTACCCTATTATGTCCATTAAGGTTGTGTTTGACGCACCACAGCTAGCTGATAAGCCAACTTATTTTTTAAGCTTTTATAAATTGTCAGGTTTGGCAAACCAAAAAGTAGCTGATAAGCTAGCTTTTTAAAAAGCTACTTTTTAGGAGCTTTTCTAAATTTTTCGAATGTACCCTTCATTAATTATAAAAAACATATTTTTCTAAATGTCATTTTATATCTTTCAGCTAGTTTTTACCTAACGTCATTTTTTGTCAGCTAGCTTTTCAGCTATCAGTTAGTCTGCCAAACATAGCCTAAGTAATTAAAAAAACATGATATTTGAGTTTGACTAATTGACTAATTGACTTATGGTGTGCGATTTTTTTTGACAGTTCATGGTCCATGTTAGGGAATGTTGACACTGCAATATATGGGGCCCCACCTAGCGGTGTCACTCGTCGTCAGGTTTGCATAAAATAGCAATATACTTTTATCGTTTCTATATTTTCTTTAATCAGTAAAAAAATTGCTATTATGGGTAAAAATGGAAAGTACATTGCCTTCATTTTTGATATATAAAAATAAAATATGGGTGATATCTTGTTGTAGGTGTTGGAGAAGTATCAGGTGTATGCAGATTCAGTCATAGGAATGTATGGAAATAGTAAACCAAGTCTCCGTGATTTGGTTAAGGTAAAAAAAAAAAATTATTTCCTTCTTTCTGAGTAAATTACAATTTTGTCCTTCCTCGGTATATCTTTCTTTCTTTTTATGGATATGGTAGAGAAGTTCCATTTTTTGTTTTTTATTTCCGTTCCGTTTATCATCCTTGTTAACATCGTAACCGTTAATTTCATGAAAATGACCATTTTGCCCTTGTCTTCTTCATGTTTTAAATCAAACCAAATTCAACCAGAGCCCCACAGAAGCGACACCTAAAATTAAAAGAAAACAAAACAAAACTGAAACTCGAATACCAAATTATCATGAACCTTGTTACCTGTGTATCATATCTATAAAAAAGGTAATTTGGGGATGAAAATAGCAATGTACTTTATTTATTTTATTTGTTGATTTGTGTAGCCTTTATATGGACTATTTTGGGGGGAGCCAGGAAATGGTGTGTGGAAGCGCAATGCGGATTCTGCTTTCCATCAATGCAAGGCAAGTACATTTTTTATTTTAGTAAATAAGAAATAAAAAAAATCTACCCAAAAAATTACAATTTTTAACATCACTTCAACATGAGGGTGAAACAGTCATTTATTCATATATTCAGACAATTAAAATATGGTGAAACCACCTTTACGTATATAATACACAAATAGACATTCAACTACTTTATCCATACATAACCGTATATATAATACTCTCATAAATCCATTAACAGGAAAATAGTTATTGATTTGCATTTGCTAATTGCTATTAATTATGTTTGTAGACATTCAAATCTCTGATGGAGGAGACTATAATGGCAATTCCTGATTCAGTATTGGATTCACCCATTGTTGCTTCATCATCTACAACTCGTGTAGATAAATTTCTTGATTCCAAGAATTTGCTACCATTGCCTTATACACCCAAGGAACAAGAACAAGAACATGAGTTGTTGTATGCTTAGGGGTTATGTGATAACTTCTTAATGGAACCATTAAGAGGTTGAAGTCATTGGACACTAAATGGTTTAGTTTTATCGAACAATCTCTTAGTTTGTGATCACATTACAAATTTTTGTTCCATAACCTTATACTTGTGCACTAGTTGAAATTCTTTAGGGAGAGAGATCCAATATCTCTTATAAACTATATACAATATACACCCAAGAAAATTGAACAACTTGGAATGTTAATCCCTTAGAAATCATATTTGTTGCATGCTTCTTGTGGATTTAACTCGTAAGGCCTCGATTGTTGAGATGTGATTGCAACCAAATGCACATATGCAAAGACACAAATAAGAAAAAAATAAAAATAAAGAAAGCACATGCCACATGTACACGTGTCATAAAAATCCATGAAAATGTATAGACATGGACATATAAATAGCAATGTAATACACAAGTATATGAAAGTGCGATAGATCATAAATGAACTTGCAATTATATTCTTTTGCTTTTTAGTTTAGGTATCGTACTTTCAAAAACCAAGACGAAGAATCTTGAAAAATACACATTTTTAGGGGTGTGATAATTGGGAAACTTTATAATTCTTTTAGGCATAATAGATACTTTCATAACACATAAACACTAACAAAGATATTAATCAATTGATCTTACCATGTAAGTGCTACAACCTTGAGAATGAGGAAGAACGAAGGGTATCGAAAGAAACAGCAAATTGATTAATGATTACAGAAAGAAGCAATGATTTGAGTATTTACTGTATGAAAATAAGGAGCAATGGAAAATGTACTGAATGTAACTTATTCCTATGAGTAATTAATTATAATGATTTTGAGTAATTACTATTGTTTGTTACACATAACTTGCAAAATGTGACATTATATGCTCAAATGTGTATACCATAAGTTGGTATTATTTGGTAAATTGGTATTTGTTTGTTTCTTTAGAAAAAGATAAATTTAGCTTAATTTTTTAATTATTTACCAATAAATAGCCATTTTTTATTTTTACTTTTTTTTAATGACATATAGCAATCAAAATCATAGTTGAGCCTTCATAGGTTGTGATTTCGGTTTTGTTTAGTTTTTACTTTTTGTCAACTTTGAACCTTCGTATCTTCCTTATACAAACTTGATTGATCTAATTTTTTTTCATTATGCTTTTGAAGTAAGGGCTTTCCATTGATATATTACCATCGATATTTTTAGGAAGTCACCATTTCAAAGCTGCAAAGTAGGCCTCTCGAGATTTTGGAACATTTTTTGACTTGGAGTTTTTTCTTATTTTTTCGATGTTCGTTAAAATGTTTTTCCTAACTTCAAACGCCCATAACTATTTCATAGAAACTCGAATTTAGTCGATTTTTTATATATGGATTCATCATCATGTCTAATACAACTTTCACTAAGAAAGTTACTGTAGATATGCTCTGCATCTAGAGTTCTAAATCTCCAAACTACGCTATTTAGTAATTTTTGAACTTTTCAAAAAATCTCCATTTTTAACATAAGCTTTAACGAAACATTCCCATTCTTTTCAAACTGTTTATATACTTTAATAATAACTTATGAAACTTAATCCATGCATTCATTTTTGAATTGAATTAATACCTTAAAAACCATTATTTATACATCATCGTTTCGATTTAACCCCAACTTTATTTTCTGTTATTCATTTGCTATTATATTTTATAAAATGTTTCATTTTCGGGCCCTTGACCGGTCACCAACAAGTCATGATGACGTCTCGGTTTTGCATTTAGCCCCAACATTTACGTATAAATTTGCATTTAACCCCAACATTTACGTGTAAGTTTGCATTTAGCCCCAACTTTTTTTTTGTTTCCCATTTCCCATTGTTTTTAGAAAAAAAAATTCATTTTAGCCCTTGGCCAGTCAGTAATAGGTATTTTAAAACGTAATAACTTAAAATGAAAAAGGAAAAAATAGAGGAAAGATTCGAAACTGTGACTTGTGACTTCTACCTAAGGGCGGGACGTGTTAGTTAGTAAAGCCAATGGTTTTTTTTTTTTTTAATTTTTTTTAATTTTTTTTGTATTATCAGTGTTTGTTGTAATTAATGTACACATGTATTTAAAATGAAGGAAAAAAAAGCCTATTGTAAGTCTCGAGTCCGAGACATCTAATAAACGATCCAAAACAGGGTGTTACATTTAGTTCTTGGGTTATCAGAAAACTATGAGTTCTCAAATGATCATTCCTCTAACATATATATATATATATATATATATATATATATATATATATATATATATATATATATATATATATATATATATATATATATATAGAGAGAGAGAGAGAGAGAGAGAGAGAGAGAGAGAGAGAGAGAGAGAGAGAGAGAGAGAGAGAGAGAGAGAGAGAGAGAGAGAGAGAGGGAGAGAGAGAGAGGACAGTTCCATTGAGATTCTGAAAAAATAGAGATCTTCAGATTCAACTTCAGCAACATATTTCTCATTTGTCACTATAATGCTCCAATGCACCGGCGTGGTGGGATAATACCTAATCATAAATTAATATATGTCACAAATATATAAACATATATGATTATATATGTTTATACATATACGCTTAATCATAAATGATTACACATATATGTCAGTTCACAAACTGATTAATCATATAAGATTATGGTGGTTGGTGGAAGAGGAGGTTGTTGTGGCGGAAGTGGCGGTGGTATTGGTAACGAAGGTAACAATGGTAGGGTTGGTTGGTGGTAGAGGTGGTGGTGGTAGTGGCGGCGGTGGCGGTGGCGATTGTGGTGGTCAGGAAGGTGGTAGAGGAAAAAGGAACAGTCAGCGCTACATTATCATTTATGATTATAACTCTTTCGTCATGCCGGTACGCCAGAGCGCTAGAGCGGCAAATGTTAAATATGTGGCTGAAGTTGAATCTCAAGATCTCTATTTTTTACCGTATGTCAACGGAACCTCTCTCTCTCTATATATATATATATATATATATATATATATATATATATATATATATATATATATATATATATATATATTATATATATATATATATATATAATCCTTAGAGAACCCGAAGATTGTCGCAAATTAGCCAATATTTTCATGTGATTTTTAATTTTTTTTAACTATGTGTTGTTTGTTTTTTTGAAGCAAAAATTAATGAAGTCTACGGACCACCGGTACAACCATCTGCAACAAAATAGATGGACCAAACGGCTGCAGCATGTCATAAGAAGCTTGTTTGTTTTTTTACACCTACAGGTTGTTGTAGTAAACTGAAATTTTAAAAAACTGATTTTATCAAACTAAAAATATTTCTCAACACCAAAGTTTTAACAATTATAGTCTTAAAACATTGAAAGAATACTAAAAATCTCACAACTGGAAAAATTCTAGATCAATCAAGGTCCAAACTTCAACCATGTACCTGTAAATTTTCAATGTTAAAGTCTAGATCAACCATTGTAACTCGTTTTGAGGTAATAAAGATATAAAATAATTAAGATGAAAATAAGCGTCAAAAATAAAATGTTAGATAAATCCGATATCTATGAATAAAGAGGTAGTGATCGTGATAAGGATTCCAGAAATATAAAGAACACCATAATCTGAGTTATAACGAAGAAGTTATGAATTTTCAACGGACCTTTCCTGTCCCGGCCTGTTAAAAATATAATATTAAAAATAAATTTAAAATTAGCTGACGGAGTCTAAACGAAAGTCGTAGAGTACGGTCTCACCTACGCGTGGATATAAAGAACGTCGAAAACGGAGCTCGTATGCGAAAGTTATGAATTTTTGAAGTTTGAGGCACAAACTTCGAGGTCTGACCGAAGGCGTACACCCATCGTATGAGATTACGCCCTGCGTACTTGGAAGCTTGGTCCGGAGTCGGCCACATCACCTCTTTCTTCGGACGGATGACACGTATCTCGCATGGTTGACACGTCCGAAGCCCGGAATCCGAACATGCACCACGTAGCTCCTACGCGCCGCGTACGAAGGTACGCCCTGCGTACCGAAGTTACGCCCAGCGTAATCCGAGGCTTCGGCCAGCTATGAAAGGAATGCGAGGCTGCCCGATTTCTTTTGGAAACTTACCATCTTTGTCACAACTGGTAATTTTAGCTTAGGGTTGTATGTAAGCACCAACACTCTCTCCATGTAACTTGAATGTAATATACTATGTTAAGGTAAGATGGACTTATTTTGAATGCAATTACAAGCAAAACACTTGAAGGAAACTTGCAACACTAGTTTGGGGACCAAAAATGACCAAAACACAAACTTTACCACCATTTCACTTAGGAATTCGGTCATGGAATGCCATGACCGAACACACCTCGTTTTGGGCCACACAAAACCGAATTCATCCTTTGTTTGGGCTCCTCAAGACCGAATTCCCATATAAGGCCCAAACTACAAACCGATTTCTCATTTTGAAGCAATTAAGGACCGAATTTCCAACATATACATATACTAGGACCAATTTCCCTCTTATGGGGTAAATTCGGTCATACCATGACATTTAAAGGAGTGTTTGGCCAATCTAGGGACTTTTCAAAAGGGATATTAGTTGTTTATTGATTTCCAGTACGTAAAAGTGCCATGGAAAAGCTAAATTCGGCTTTACATTGTTATGACCACCGAATTTCCATACAGCTCATTCAAATGTCCACCAAATATCCAAGCCATTCCAGTACCCCTTAACCCACGAATGGAGACCATTTTACTTCATTTGCACTTCAATCTTTTCTTGATTCTCACTGTTATTACACTCTCCAGACTTCTTCAAGAACAAGGCTAAGTTCTTCAATTCCTTTGAACTTCCAAGTAATTCCTAGCCTCTTGGTAAGTATTTCAACCCACTCCTAGTGTTCTTACACTTGTTTGTGTTCATTTCATACCCATTTACATACACAAATTTCGTGTATAATATTCCTAGGGTGTTAGGAGCTTCAAGGGTTCATCAGGAACATCTAGGTGTTAAGCTTCCAAGTTCTTCACAACACACTTCAAACTTCTCCACAAATCAACCAAGGTGAGCTTCATACCCCTTATTTTCAAAGTTTTCATTTTTTTTGGGGGGGGGGGGGGGGAATACAAGTCAATTCTTGGTTGGAAATCCTTGTATATTTGCATGTATATGTGTGTATGTATATGTTTGTGTGTTGAAATGTCACCATTCCATGCTAACACTCCTAATCTCGAAATATGGTATAAGTCTCAAGTGTTTGAAG